TAAAAAAAGTAAAGGAACACATTTTTGCATGAGGTGACTGGTCAGTCTCTGAGGAAATTCTGCAGACAAGTTTTACAAAGTTCTCTGTGTCAGCAGTGGTGTTGGGTGATATTGAGTCAGAGAGTCACAACTACTATTTGAAGGCCATTCATACATGAAAGTTTGGGTTGCTTCTTTAAGATATGTTTGTTGGTGGAAACACAAGGTATAGTTTAGTCAGATCTTGTACTCTGAGTTTTTGCCAACAAATTCTGAACCTTGTGGTTCTACCTTTCCCACCTCTTCTTGTCTAAGTGGGTTTTTTTGGCTGTTTTTGTTTCTTTTGTTTAGGTTATTTGTCATGGCGACAACCCAATTTATTTAAAGTGTTTTGTCACATTTCTGTAAGCTGGTTACACCATCTTGAATTATTTAACTCAGTATAAACACTAAGGTAGTTTGTATGTGAAAGCTTTTGCACCATATGTGTTTATGGAAATGTGCTCATTGTGATGTTTCCAAGCACAGCATCTGCTCTTATGCATCTTTTATAATATTTTGCATCAAGCCCATATAATAATTGATCTCCACCATCTGATGATTTTTTTTTTATTTAAGACCATTTCCCCTCTTATGTTTTTGATAGATGGTAATTTTTAATATTTTGGAGCAAAAAAGCATCTCAATTAAAAAGAAGAATGATCAATAAAAATGTCTTTCCTGAGATCTTTAATTTCCTTTATCCAATACATACTTTTTAGAGAAAGCCGCAGTCTTTGCATTTAGAAGAGTAAGGTCTTCTGTATATTATCTCAAATAGAAAAACCCAAGTTTACTTAACCTGTAACTCACATGGAAGTGTAGGTCATATAAAGGCTGCTGAGAATAAACTCCCCCTTCCATCCTTACTCAGACTGGAAGTTTGGGCTTACTCTGGGTTCCTGTATAGGTGCTCTCAAGTATCCTGCCTTTCTGCACAAAGTGGAATTTTAAAATGTCCGGTATTGCCTAATGGCTTTTTTAAAATTGCATATCCACCTTAAGGTCCTTTGGTTGTCCCTGTGGAGACAAGACTTGATAACTCCTCAAATACAACCCCACAGACCTGTATGGGGACAGTGGTTGATTTCAGAAAATGATGAATCATGGAATAAGCTAGTATTCATCTACCTTCTGGAAGTAGCACTTGAAACAATCTATTATTAATAATATTTCCTGAGCTCTCAAAACCAGAGAATCAACTCTATCTAGGGGACCAACTTCTTGATTTACCAAAACATACACTGGTTCAACTGTAGTGAAGGAAGTGCAGCCACCTTGACTGTAAAACCTGCTGCTTTTAAAACTAGGGAAGGTGCCCAAGACCTCCTAATGTCTCCCTAGTGTGGTCTGTAAACCACTAGCAGGATGCAAGGTGATTTTAGGTGGTACAGGGATGAACTTTCAAAAAAATTGTAGTCATTATTCCCTTGTTGTAGTGGATTGAATTGTGTCCTCCTCATAATTCCAGAACCTCACTCAGAATCTAAGAATGTGACCTTATTTGGAGTAGAATCTTTGCAGATGTATTTAGTTAAGGGTCTTGAGATGAAATAACCTTAGATTTAGAGTTGGCCTTGAACCAATGACTAACGTCTCTGTAAGAGAAAGGAGAGGGAGATTTGAACACAGAGACAAACAGAGAGAAAAAGGTCATGTGACTATGGAAGTGGAGATTGGAATGATGTGTGTACAAGCCAAGGAACATCAAGGAGCTAAGAGAGGGGGTCTGGAATAGTTTCTTCTCCAGAAGGAACCAACCCTATTGACACCTTTATTTTGAACTTCTGGCCTCCTGAACTGTGAGAGAATCAATTTCTGCTGTTTTAACGCACCTAGTTTGTGGTATTTTGTTATGGCAATCCTAGGAAATGAATATACTTAAAAATATATTATGTAAAATATTTGTGGTGTATAAAACCTGTTATTTCCCAGCCATTACTATTTAGACTGATATTCTCTAATTAATTTAGAAAGCAAAAGTGCATTGAATAAAAAAAAATTAAGTAAGTAATCTCATAGGAGGTAGGAAGATATTGCAAAACTGGTGTGGGTGTCACGTGGGTGGAAGACCAGTTTGGGAAGCATTGTTGTTTGCAACCCACAGGCTCCTTCCACCTGGAGCGACATTGTGGGAGATCTGGGTTAACTGTTATCTTCACACCTAATCAACTCCGTGACTTTGGGTAAAATACAAATGATGACTATGATAAGCCCTGTCTTCCTCAAGCAGTAAAGTGGGGACGGTAATAAATGTCTCATAGAACTTATGTGGGGATCATAAGTTTCTTTTCCTTTTGCCTTGAAATACTGAAAGCCTAGTTGTCTGAACCAGTTTTGCTGAGTGTAGAGGTGGGGTCTCCTGGCAGCTGGGTTGATGTACGAAAGAATATTTTCTAATTAGTGCCCCCAAATGTGAGTTGCGTGTGATAAATATATAGGGCTGAGCAAAATGAGAAGTGAGCTGCGGTAAAGCAGTAGGAAGTGATGCAAATAGCCCTTGATGAATCATAGCTGAAGACAACTTTCTATTATTTCTGGGCCTTCATGTGCATTTTTTGAGTTATGAGGGCCTTTATTTCTCCCTCTTTTCAACTCTATTATCTTAGAGTTCATAAAAGCAAGGGAAAGAATTCTAGACATAGTCTGACATATCTTATATGTGGGAAAGTATGCATTTGAGTAATTTCAGAGAAATTTTGTAAATTTGATGTGCATCCCTAGAAATACTTAGGATGGTTTCCTAAGCAGACAGAGGATCAGCAAGGTGATTTGGAGTGAGAATAACACAGCAAACAACTATTGGGTACTAGACAGTGGGCAGGTGCCATGTTAAATGCTATCTCATTTAATCAGCCCTGAAATCTCTGAGGTAGGTATTGCTATTAAAATTCTTATTTTAGAAACTGAGGCATAGAGAAGTTAAGTGACTTGTCCTAGATCATTTAAGTAGAGATTAAGTAACTTGTTCCAGTTCATCAAACAAGGCAGTCTGCCTCGAGAGCTTGCACTCCTAACCTCTTTATTATGCTGTGTAAAGACTTAAAAAATGTAGAAATACAGGAAGGGGAAGAATGCCTCTAGACGATGCAAGAGCAACCTGGTCTTTGAAGTCAGGAAGACCTTATTGCAACCCTGGCTCTGCTGCTTGGCAACTAATTGACCTCAGGCAAGCTACTTAAACTCTATGCATGTCAGAGTTCCTATTTGTAAAATGGATGCAAAAATATATACATATATACATCATAGCATTCTTGTGAGGGTTAAATAAGAGGTATCCAGTACAATGCGGGATGCATGAGAAATAGCCTGCACTGTACCAAGTATTTCTCCAGAGGTAACTTACTTAATCCTTACAACAACCCTTTGAGGTGGATATTCTTGTTATCTCTCCTATTTTACAGGTGAGAAAATTAAGCTTTAAAGACATGAAGTAACTTTCCCAACATTACATAGTCAGCATGTTGCAAAGTATGAATTCAAACTTAGGAAATCTGATTCCACAGCACAAGCTCTCACCCACCTTACTGTCTTCTTTTCCCATGTGAAAAAGACTTGGGAGTTGGGGTTAAATACAAGCTAGAGAAGATTCTACAAGGATAGCAGCTAATGCAAAAGCCAGTGCATATTTAGGGCCCATTCATAGAAAAATAGGGTCCAGTGTGGATGATATATTCTGTGCTGTTCAGATTGCATCTGGAGTAGTATTTTCAAGTTTGGATGATGCTTTTTAACAGGCACTAACAAACTGGAAATGACTATGATCATGAGAGGGCTTGGAAGTGATCACGAAAGAGGAATGGCTGAAAGAGTTTTGTTTTGATGAAGGCCTACAAAGAGTCAGAGAGATAGATGACTTTGGGAAAGGCTGACTGTCCAGTAGGTTGACAGTACCTTGCTGTAATCACTATGGGTCCTCCCTGATTCTGTTCCCAGACTTGCAGGTCCAAGGATATGACTATATCAGTTAATCAATATTCAGAGTTGATCGTATATGTGGTAATTGACTCACACTAACCAAACTTCTAGGAGCTTGATGCATGTACCAGAATGCCAATTGCTTAAAATTAGGAACATAAGCACCAAACAGATTTTATACATGGATTTGCTGATCAGAGCATCTATCTTTTTTTTTTTTTTGGCAGGATGCTGTTACATTCTTTTGTCAGAACGTATATAGTGGTAAGCTAACTTGGCTTGCAAGTAGAGTAAAATCACAGGTTCGTTACAGTTTCTGACTTAGAATGATGGTCAAAAATTGACGCCTCATTATTTTATTAACTTGATTTATTAACTTAATTTCATTTACTTTGTTTATATCTCATTATTTTATTAACTGAACTTATTCATATGAACAATATTTCATATGTGGTTTTGAACATTTGTATCTCATCATCTGTATGTTGTATGCTTATATTCTTTACCTATTTTTCAGTTGGGTTGTTTTTAATTAGATGGTTGATTTCCAATTTTTTTCACAATGTAAAGGATTTTAAAAAATTATGTGTAACATTAGGAAAATTATTTAAAGTCAGTGAATTTTTATTGAAGGAATTTTACATGTGATTGCTTCCACTGCTCATCAAAGTCACCTTAGTTCTTCCAAAGCTTAAGTCAGAGTTTATCTTTAAGATAGCCCTTTTTAAAAGAATCTATGCTTAATCCACAGTTGTCCTGCCAGTCAGCCCATGATTCTTTTAGTTGGACCTCATTTATCTCCACTTGAACATGGACATACTGAAAACATCAAACATTTCCCCACCTAGAATCTAATTTCTGCAAGTAATTTACTTTAGGGCCACTTTTAAGGTCAGAGTAGATGGTTTTGCCTGGTTTCCAATTTCAGACACCGTCTAAACCTGAATGAGTTCAAATCACATTCCCTCCGAAGCTATCACACCCAAGAACAGTACAGACTGTGGGATATGCCAATACCTAAGGTAAAAAAAAAATAACTAACAGGTCTTTAATACTTTTAGCAGCTCTGTCTTGTAGTTAGTTCTTTTCCAAAGATCTCACAAATAGTTCTGTGAGTGAAGCAAAACCACACAGTTACCCTGTGAGGCATTTCCAACAATGTGGGTCTACAGGAAAAGCCTCCCAGGGATAAACCTCAACTATTGGTTTTTTTTTTTAACTGATTGATAGGTTCTTTGTATGAATATATATATATATTTAAAATATTTATCTATATTTAGATAATTCAGATAAACTGAGATATATATGATACAGAGTAAAATAAAATGAGATGTAAAATCACATTACATCAATATATACAAGATCTTGTGGCAGCTTACAGCAAAAAAAAAGTGATAATGAATATATGTATGTTCATGTATAACTGAAAAAGTTGTGTTCTACACTGGAATTTGACACAACATTGTAAAATGACTATAACTCATTAAAAAAAGTTAAAAAAGGATGCAAAAGAAAAAAATAAAATTACATCAGTTGCAAATATTTTTTGTCATAATTTACTGGCTTTTTGACTTTGTTTTTATGTGTTCTGCCATAGACATAATGTACTTGGGTTTTATGTTTTGTCAAGATAGCTTCTCCCAACAAGATTAGAAATATATTTTCCCATTTTTTCTTTTGTCCTTTTAAAAAATTTACATTTTTAAATACAACTGAGATTTATTTTTAAGTATAGTGTGAGGAAGACATTTAATTTTACTCTTTTTCAGATGGATAGCTCCTTGTCCCAACATGGTTGTTAGTCTGTCAGTTCCTGTCTGATTTTAAATACCTCATTTATCACATACTAAGATCACTGTGTATTTTTCACAATACCAAATTTTTAAAAAATTTATTATTTTTTTAAATTGAGTTATAGTCAGTTTACAATGTTGTATAAATATTTCAACTGTAATTTTTATAATACATTTTGAAATCTGGTAAAATAAGTTCTTTTCCTTTCTTTTTTTCTAAAAATTGTTAACTTTTTTTGGCACATCACACAGATGAATTTTAAAATTAGCCTGCCAATTCTATAAAATATCCTGTTGGAATTTTGATTAAAATTGCATCACATTTTAAATTTAATTTGGGGATAATTAATATCTGTGTAATATTGAACCTCTTAATCTAAGAATATCTTTTATGGCCTTCATTAAAATTGTATGATTATCTTCAATAAATTTCCTACTTTTAAGTTTTTTCCTAGGTAATTCAAAGTTTTGTTGGAATTGAATTTGGCTTTCTTTTCTATTACATTTTCAAATTAGTTTTTTCTGATTATAGAAAAGCTGTAGGTTCTTGTATGTTAATCTTGCTTCTACATTTCTGAAAAATTTCGTTAGTCCATATAGGTATTTTGTGATTGCCTTGGATTTTTTAGGTGTATGTCTACCTTGCCAATAGTCATACTTCTTTATTTTTTTCCTGATCTTTTTGTATTGACTAGTAACTCTAGGACAAAATTATTGACCATAAAAGTAGGCATCATTATGTATTGTTCCTGACGTTTATGGAGACAGGGGTCTAATATTTTATTTTTCAGAATGATATTTGGAAATTGGCAAATTTCGATAATAATTGAAGATGAGTGGTAGATATATGGAGCTCATTAATCTATTTTCCCTATATTTGTGTATGTTTGACATTTTCTATAATATAGAGTTACATTTAAAAAAGAGTCAAATAAAAAAAAAGAACAAGACATTTTAGGTTTTTGGTGGATACCCCTTTTCAAATTAAGGAAGTATCTTTTTTCCCTAGCTTATTCTAAATTTTTAATTTGGGATGGGAATAGAATTAAATGTGTCGTCAAAAAATATGTTTTGAAAGAAAAACTGTAACAGGGTCCACCCATCTCTAAAGACCAAGGGAAAAAGTATGAGACTTTCAATGTGAAAAATTGACAACTCGTTCACCAAACATTTAGACCGGCTTCTCTCTTTTCATCAACTGACAGTTTTCAACAAGAGCAGAAGAGCCTCTAGGACCCAGCACATTGCTGAAAACACTGAAGGGGCTAAATAAATAATGTAGAATTGTTAGAGGATTTTGTGGGGAGAGAGAGGTAAGGCATGGAAGCTGTATTGCACCACCCAGATCCCCACTCCAGGACTAAAGGACGTATCACTCCAGCTGTTGGGATTATAGTTGGCTGACACTCTCTGGTTGCCAGTCCTTTCCGGGAATTGCCCATGGCTGAAGAGAACCACTTTGCCCAAGCTTCTGCCTCCTTCCCAGGAGCAGCTGCATGCAATGACTAAGCTGTGTGGGGCTCTAACATCCCAGCACCCTTGCCCAACTCAGGACAGGTTGAAAGGGCTCTCTCAGCTCCAGAGCTCCCTGCCGGGTGGCTGAGGCTTTAGGGTTACCAGATAAAATAAATACAGGATGTCCAGGTAAATTTGAAGTTTTTGGTAAACAACAAATAATTTTTTTAGAATCAGTATATCCCAAATATTGCATGGAACAAACTGCTGCTAAAATTTTTTTTTCCTGTTTTTCTGAAATTCAAATTTAACTGGGCTCCTGCCTGTTTACTTGCTAAATCTGGCAGCCCTGTGAGGCATCCTAGACTAACCTCTTCTCTTGCAGTCCTGCTTCTTTCCCTTATTCCACAGACGTTGATTCTGATTCTGATTCTCCAAGCAACTTCCTGCATGCTGACCTCTGTCTCAGAGTCTGCTCTCTGAGTAATGAATCTGCAATCGAGTGAAAATTAAAATAAAATGCCTTTCTTTGCCCTGTCCAAATTTTAGAACTAGTTGAGATTGGCACATGGGTCCAATAGATCTCATTAGACTGATTATTGCAGAGCTGAGGTTGGAGAACACTCCTGAAGTCTCGAGCCTAACGGGTTCACTAATGCCTCATTCCCAACTACATTTACTCAGTCTGCCCGACTCAGCCTACTTTACAGCTGTTCCTATTACCGTTCATCAGTTAGGTTAAGTCATTCCTTCTCTTCTGTGGAGGAGTGAGTAAGGGGGCGGGGAAGAAGCCAGAATTGTTACTCTTGTGATGGTCTCTCTAGATAAGAATACAAAGCTGGGGAAAGAAGTTTTCCACTAAGTACTGCTTTGTATAAGATAAAAGCAACCTTGTTTGAATAGGTCAGTGCAAATGATCATATATGAGCCTTAAGCAAAATAGGACGAGACCTTCCAAAAGTATGGATTCTTAATTCTTTGCCTCCTTTGTCTCTTCTCCATGTGAAGGATTTCCTTAGGACTCAATGCTTCTCTCTCTTCTCAATTTGTGTGATCTGCCTTGTCAAGCTATCTAGTCTTAACATATAATGCTTTTATAAGCTTAACTTTCAAATCAGCATTTCCCTTGACCTCTCTCCTGAGCTCCAGTTCTGTATTTCCAGCAGTTTTGTCCTCTGTACCTTGGTTTCCTGAAAGTACCCTAAATTCATGATGTCCTTGCTTTAGTCACACTTTTGCTCCAGCGTGAACGAATCCTCATTCAAGCTCCCAGGCAATGAGGAGCATGTTCTGAGGAGAACACACTTGGGAACTTAGGGAAAGACAAGTAATCTGATTGGCTATGCTTGTGTATTTGAGCAAGGGAGGCTCATAGGTCCGTGGTCAGCCTATCGGGTGACTGCTTTTGGGTTGGATGTCGATGCCAGTCCATCTGGTTGTGGCTGGAGGGATCGTGTGGTCCCTGAGGACTGCCCCTTTACCACTTCAGCAGGGCCTGTGGCAGGGCAGGCACAGTGACCAACATGGTCAGTTCATTCTCTTCCTTTTTGTTAAAGGAACAACCATCTTGCCTTCTGGTTAGATGGGAAACCCTGGCCTCATACATGAATCCATTTTTCCTTTTGTTTTCCAATTCCTACCTGCCAAACCATATTGATTCTGTCTTTGTAGACTGTCAGTTGGCTCAGGTTTCTATAACAAAATACCATAGACTGGATGGCTTAAACAAGAGAAATCTGGAGGCTGGGAAGTCCAAGATCAAGGTGCCAGCACTGTCAATTCCTGATGACAGCTCTCTTTCTGGCTTGCCCCCTTCTTGCTGTGTCCTCACATGGCAGAGAGAGAGAGCAAGCTCTCTGGTGACTCTTCTTATAAAGGCACTAATCCCAGCATGAAGGCCCCACTCTCATGACCTCATCTAACCCTGATTACCTCCCAAAGGCTCCATCTCTAAATACCATCACATTGGGGGTTACAGCTTCAATGTGTGAATTTGGGGGGACACAGACATTCAGTCCATAGCATAGGCTATTATCTGTATCCTTTTCTCCATTCTTACTGTCACTGTTCAAATCCAGAAGCTCCTTACCTCTTTCTTAGATCCGTATAGTAACCCATTAGGTTATTTTCCCCTGTTCTGCTTATTTCACGTCCTGCTTCCAGATTACTTTCTAAAAGTTGACCTCTGATCATGTCACTCTGCTGTTTGAATACTTACATAGCTCTCTGTTCTTCATTGATTAAAGTTCAAATGTCTTAACTTGGCATTCAAGGCCTAATGGATGTTTTCAGTATATTCTCCATTAGTTTTCCTTTTCACATTCTTTCTGAAAGTGTAGTCTCCAGGACACCCGACCCAGATTTACCTGTTTCTTGAGATCCTCCCCAGAAATAGTGAACAGTATCTCTGTGAGTGGGGCCAGGACTCTGTATTGCAAACAGGAATCCCAGGTGATTCTTATATATGTTACACTTCAGGAGTACCCAGTGTAGTCAATGAGGAAAAAGAGAAGCCTCATTCTTGTAGATGCTCTGAAAGGAGAGATCGGGGGTGCTTTTTTTTGGGTAATGTAGGGATTAGGCTCTTCTGGCGGCCTCACTGTCCTTAAAGACAGCCAGTTCTCCATACGCATCAAAGGGCCAGTGACTCTAATTCTTTAAGTCTGTGATTTTTCAAGCTGTGCTTGAGGACCACTCAGAGGCTCCACAGGAGGTGAGGGGCAGTGAGTGGATGGGCTTCATAGCTTCTTTTTCTTCCTTTTCACTAAAATAATTTCAGTGTTATTCATTTTATATTTCCAGGCGCAAGATTATATTTGAAAGACGTGTTCTGCTTTCTAAGTATCTCTGTTCTGATTTTAGTCACACCTTTTCCTCTTCCAACTTTCAAACCATTTGGGAGGTAGCTGTAGTAGTTAGATGGAGATTTTTTTAAAAATCAGCTTTATTATG